CACAGATAAGTGACCAGAACAAAATAAATGACTTTGACATAGTGTCTTGTACTTCTCATTGGTGAACCTGTATCCCTATTTAAACGATTTGTTTTTTCCCTTTCACTCTCCAAATTATACCAACATCAAATACAGTGAAAACAGGGGTTATGCCATGGGGGAGGGACATACAAAGCAACAAAAAATCACATGGTACCTAAATAAATACATTAGAAACAATAACAAGGAAGAAAAAACCACTTGTGTCCTTATCTTGTGGTTCATTTCACTTAACACCATCTTATCTGACCTTTCCTGCTTGTCTCAGACATATACTAGTTATTGCAAATAAGGGAAACCGTGGGTCCTATGTTTCTTTGGGCCTGGCTTACTTCACTTAATAGAATTTTTTCCAAGTCTTTCCATTTCCTAACAAATGGGGCAATGTCATTCTTTCTAGTGGAGGCATAGAATTCCATTGTGTATATATACCACATTTTCTTGATCCATTCATCTACTGAGGGGAATCTGGGTTGGTTCCATATCTTAGCTATGGTAAATAATGCACAACATAGTTGTTCTGGTAGCTTTAGTATGGTCTTGTTTGTGATCATTCGAGTAAATGCCCCAAAGTGGGATTGCTGGGTCATAGGGGAGTTCTATGTGGAGTCTTTTGAGGAACCTCCATACTACTTTCCAAAGTGGTTGAACAAGTTTACACTCCCATCAACAATGCAGTAGGGTTCTTCCTTCTGTCCACATCCTCTCCAGTATCTGTTATTATTAGAATTCTTGATTATAGCCATTCTAACTGGGATGAGGTGGTATCTCAATGTTTTGATTTGCATTTCTTTTATGGCTAGAGAGTTTGAGCATTTCTTTATGTTTATATTGGCCATTCTTATTTCCTCTTCAGAGAAGTTTCTCATTCAGTCTTTAGCCCACTTATTTATTGGGCAGTTGTTTCTTTGAGTATTTGTTGTTGGGGGATTTAATTTTTTGAGTTCCAGGTGTATTTTAGATATGAGATCCTTGTCCGTTGTATGGCTAATGAAGATCTTTTCCCAATCCATGGGCTTTCTATTGATATTGTTAGCTATGTCCTTTTCCATGAGAACTTTACAATTTAGGTGGGGGTGGAGGGGGATGTAGTTGTAGAGATGGGAGGGAAGGGATGGTAGGGGAAAAACAAAGAAGGCAACAATGCTTGATAAGAAATGTACTCATTATCTTGCCCATGTAACTGTAACCCCTCTGTACAATATTTTCACAATAAAAAACTTATTTAAAAAATACATGACTTCAATGCAGCCACTCCAAAATATCTATTGTTCATATTTGAACACAAAACTCTGTTATCCCCTGAATAAGTGTTTCCTCAAAGCTCCTGGGTTGAAACCTAACCTCTGAGGAGATGGTATCAGGAGGGAGCCTCTGGGAGGTCGTGAGGATGGAGTCCTCAGGTCAAGATTATTGCTCATGCAATAAAGGCCTGATGGAGAGCAGGTGCTTGCCACATGAGCCTGCTCCAAGCCCTTTTTCCTCCCATTGTGTGAGGACACAGCAAGATGGCACCTCTATGAGGGATTGGTCCTCACCACACAATGCATCTGATCTTGAGCTTCCCAGATCCCAGAACTGTGAGCAATGTATTCCTATCTTTTAGAAATTACTCAGTCTAAGGTATTTTGTCATAGTAATCTGATCTGACCAGGCTTTATTTTCATAGAGGACAGTGGTTCAAAATACAGCCTCTGGAGCCTGGGTCATAATTATGGCTCTGTAACCTGCTAAGGGTGCCATTTTTACAATTTATCTGAATTGTTTATAAAAATGACACATCTCGGGGCTGGGAAGGTGGCTCAGTGGTAGAGCACTTGCCTTGCATGCTCGAGGCCCTGGGTTCAATTCCTCAGCACCACATAAGCAAAAAGAAAAAAGCTGGAAGTGTCGCTGTGGCTCAAGTGGTAGAGCACTAGCCTTGAGCTGAAGAGCTGAGGGACAGCGCCCAGGCCCAGAGTTCAGGCCCCATGACCGGACCCCCAAAAAATGACACATCTGGCTGCAGTCTCTTGGAGCCTCACTTTTCTCATGAAAAATGGGGATAGTAATAGTGCCATCTTCCCAGGATGTCTGTGAAGATTAAAATGATGAAAGGGGTGACAATGATCCAAGACAGAATGTACACAATGTACTTATAAGTTGACATGTTAACTCGAAACCACCTTGTGCAAAGATAATACTTGACTTAGAATACAACATATGTTAACCATTATGCTATTATTTTACAAAATTGGGATTATATCATAAAACTGACAGTATATAGATTTCTTCCAGCAGAAATAAACTTTTTTATACAGTCTTAAATGTTTTCAGTGGGTATGTATGTTCCTAAGACTCATATATATATATATATATATATATATATATATATATATATATATATATATGTATTACTCTGTATTTTACTGGGAATTTAGATTTTTCTAGGTAAGAATTTTCTCAGGTAAATGGCCCACATTTGCCTGAAGTTTCTTGGACACCCATAGTTTAAATTCTGCATTTCTGATTCACACTCACATACTTCTTTCCCCTACCCCACTTTGTAGTTGGCATTAACTGTCCTCATTCCCTTTGGGAAGCTTCCAGAAGGAAAATAAACAAAAACACTTTTTAATTTGTTGGGAATTCTATATGACTATACTTTACACATGAAGGCATAAACTCACTTATTGTATATTAGAAATTCAAGCTCTTCATCTAATAGATGATATGAGGAAGAAGTGGTTTTTCCTGTGTTCCATGCTATTGTTAGACAGCTCCCTAAGGCTGACTTATTTCTTTATTTTTTGTGCTGGTACAGGAGCTTGAACTCAGGGCCTGGGTGCTATATTTTAACTTTTTATCTTGCTCTATCACTGAGCCACAACTCCAATTCTGTCTTATTGTTAGTTAATTGGAGATAAGAGTCTCATGGACTGGGTTGGCTTTGAATCATGATCTTCATATCTCAACCTTCTAATTAGCTAAAATTACAGACCTTAGCCACCTACCCTTAGCAAATCGACAACGTGTGTGTGTTCACACATGAGTGTGTTCGTATGTGTGTTCTGGTCCTGGGGCTTGAATTAAGGGCTCTCAAGGCTAGTGCTCCACAGCTCAACTTCCTCATTTCTTTATCTTTACCTTCTAGTTTGTCAGCTAGTGCATGGAGGAAGTCAATAATATTTTTTAAGCAAGTAATATTTTGAAATAACTTAACAGCTTCCTGGGTTTTGTGGCAGAAAAGGACTACAGAGGTATGGAGATGGAGTTCTAGAGATGAACTATTATCATACAGTATTAGGGATGAGTTGATAGAACAATTCAGGCCCTGGGAGTGATAAGGAAAGCCAGAAGACATACCCTAGTTTGTTAAGGTAGGTATCATGTAAAGAAAGGATTAAGCAAATTCCAACTTGCTCCAAAGGTAACAAAAATATCAACTTCTTGATAGGACAACAGCAGCATAATATAATTAAGAAACTCTTTATAATTAGTATTAATCGAAACTGAAATGTGTTCTCAAGGAAGGAAATGGATAGCCCCTAATTGTATGTAAGAATTGTATGGAAGAACTGGTCAAGAATTTTAAAGGAAAAATAGCTAAAAGCTCTACAAAAATAAGATAAAATGATTTTGAGAATATTTATCTTGATAGGCAGGAAGTTATGTTTTCCTTATTGATTGTTGCTTTGTGTTTTTTTGAGTAGAAATCCATTATCTTTCTCATTATAAATGGTATTAGATAAATGCTAATGTCTTCCTTGACCTAAGATTCTATGTTTTAGAATAATAATTTGATTGCTAATTCAGTATGCTACACACAGTAGGAGTTCAAAAGATAAATTTAAATTAGCTCTTAAGTCTGGAAAATCGACATTTAAGATAAATTAAAGCTACATGCATTTCAACAACTTGATTGAACTCAGCTGGTCTCAACGAACTATATCAGTAGATCACACTAGGAGTATTAAATATTCATTTGCTTTTTTAACTAGAAAAAGTTGAAATTAAAAGAATAAATTTGGATGGATTTTAATGTGGTGAGATGAAAAGTATTCTGCTTTTGGCTTTCTGAATTATTATATCAAATTATTTCCCAGAATAAAATAAATCCTTACATGAAGATGAGAATACGCTTTTATTGCACCTCAAGTTGAGAGTTATAGAGGAAGAGCCTTTGTATCATCATACCATCTGAAATCTAGCTTAAGATGTCACAGAAATGTAGCACATTCCAAGATGCCTTCATTTCTCCAGATTTCACATCAGTATTGGAAGTGGAGGTCCTATCAAGCTCATACTTGAATTCTGGGAAAGATCCTGCTCCTATAGCAATCAAAGCTCTGATGAGCATCCCAGCTCACATCTGTGATATACATTTTGCTCTTCCAGCCAGAAGAGTGGATTAAAAAATAGCAAAAGATGATGTCTGATGTTTCTTTGGCTTCTCTTCCTTCCTTGCTCCCTAATCCCATTAGAATATTTTTATATTTAATATTCATATCCAGTATTTCACTTTTCTTCTCAACAATGTTTTAGACAATGATAAAAAGGTCATGTCTCAGGTTTTCCACTGGCTAGCCTATTCAAGCAATGCCCCTTTCTCAACTAATTAGAGAATTATAATATCCAAAGGCAGGGAGATTATCAAATTTCAGACATTACTCTGATCTCACTGAGACTTAGCAAATACACAGTGGTGTTCACCATGGAACCAAGGGCTCAGAGTTCTTTCTGACCTAGGACCTCACACAGCCATTGCTAATCTGTCATAGAACTGGCACAAGAGGTGACATCTATTTGTTTTCCAGATGAGAAATCAAAGGTTCTTTAGCAACATGTCCTATTTTGACAATCATAATCATGTTTCAGAATCATATCTATAAAATAAGACTCATTTTATATGTATCCTATTGGTTTGATTTTTTAATGGCACTATGAGAAATATGAAAAAGAAAAGCACATTTTAAAAGTACCTCTACTGCTGCCTTTGCCCTTTCAAATTCCTCTTCCAAGGAGTGGTTTCTGGAAAGTAATGCACTTCCCCAGCGATGTTCCTTGGTCAGTCGGGCCTGAAATAAACCAAATATAAAGTGTTAAATTATTAGATTACATGACACAAGCAATTAAGTGTTTCTTTTCCCATGCTATTTTCTCAGAAGTATTTCTAAATGATGTTATTTTTGGAGTATCTTTCAAGATTTATGCCCTTATTGGTATGTCTCAATGTTTATGAGCATATATGCATGTTTTTTCAGTAATGAGTCTCAGCTTAGTCATGTGAAAACCAGTCTCTACCCTCAAACATACTACTTCTATAAGTCTGTATTCCAAGTACTGATATTTTAGAAAAATCCCCCACTGATTCTAGTTTGTGACTAGATAATCTCTATTGTTAGGAGGACCAGAAGCCAAGATAGAAGTGTGGCTTTCAGGCCAGTTTCATATATACAGCAGGTCCTAACACAGAATCTGTTTTGCTTTGCCTTGCCATGTGAACTGGCACAGTCTTGTATTCTATATCTCAGGATATTTCCCTGCATGAAATAATCATGAGTCATTTAGGCAAAATCATGTCTGATAAGGCCAACTGCTTCGATGAATCACAGCTAAGGTGACATATATCTTAATTTAGTTAATTGCAAATGTTTGGAAAAAAATCACAAAAATAAGAGATGTGCCTAGAGAGCATACTTAGATCTTTATTTATTCACCCATGAGCAGAACATAGCAATATATTTTTAAAAACTGAACACAAATGGTATACTATTCTGTAATTCACTTGATTTTCACTCAACCATAAACTTGTGGAACACCCAAATATTTAGTATTTATGGATTCATTGACTTATGGGTGTTAGGGGTTTTGTCTCCCTGTATTTTTTTTGGGGGGGAGGGGAGCTTAGCACCATTTAGTATCACCGCTACCCAGGATGCATAAATAGAATTGTGATTCAAGTGAGTCATGGCAAAAAATGAGAGTATCAGTAAAATGGCTGGCGTGTGTGGTTCAAGTAGTAGAGCACATAAGCATCAGGCATAAGATAAATAATAATAGATGAAATACATTTACAAAAAAATAAAATAAGGGAGCCAGGATACAGCTCAGTGGTAGAGTGCTGGCCTTGCATGTACAAGGCTGTGGGCTCAGTCCTAAGCACCATAAAACAAAAAATAAAATGAAATAAATAAAACTAAATTAAAAATTACAATGAGATATTACTTCACAAGTGTTATAAGGGCTATTATTGAAAATCCAAAAGATAACAAGTGTTGAGAAGACATGGGAAAAATACCTATGACATGTTTTTTTTGCCCTTTGTATGTCTTAGAAAAATAAGAAAACATCAGAATTACTCACTTTGTGAGCTTCCAATTTATTTGTGATTCTGAAATATGTTTTTAAGCATGGCTTATAATAGCCCATCATCTGTTGATTCACTCCCTCCATCTGAGAAGGAGGAGCCCAGTAATCAGTTTTGATGAGCTGAAATGCTCTATGTGAATGATTTTCAAGTCGGCTATAAGTTGAATTTTTATTCTACCTCCATCATATTTTACTATATCTACATAACAAGCCATATATTCAAGAGCAGTGTGTTTCTGCCAATGAAAACATCTGTCTCTGATAACAAGTAGATTAATTTATGTACTCCCTTGCTTCTCTGTTTGGATGACTTGGTGTTTCAGGTATAGTATTAAACCTTGATTCGTGAAGTTTTTCTAATTAAACCATAGGTTGGAATTCACAGAATAGCATGAAATTTCTTAGTTCTAGCAAATCTTACTACATTGATAATATTTATTTTAAAAAACTGAAGAAGTAAAGTCTTTATAAATAACCATCTCAAATGATGCATTAAGCCTTCCTTAGACAGAAAACTACTGTAGTGCATTTTAAAGTGTATTTTGGAAGACAACATAAGGAATCACATACCAATTTTCCAAAGCACACTGTGCTCCCTTAGAGGAAAGCTGGTTAGTGGGTAAAAGGGTGGACAGTGTGGTGGGATGGAATCACACAAGCAGCAGGAGGGCAGCAGTCATTGGGATAATAAGATAAATGCATTGTGGGTTTCTATGGAAACCAACGACCCTAGCTGCTCCTCTGCCCCAGCTTGGTGTAGAACAGCCCACCTGGGCCAAGTCTTGCTCTGCTTTCAAAACAAATGTTTTATTGCTACATTAAATTGTTACAAGGATTCCAGTTTATGACACAGTACCAGTTACTTTAGGTGAATCTTAAATCTCTACCTATCAAGAAATGTTTTCCTAATAAGTGCCTTAATTTTTCATTTTAAAAAGATACATTTAGAATGAGCATAAAGAAAGAAAATACAAAATGCACTCTCCAGATTTAAAAAATACAGTTTCATGCTACATTTACAATTCATTAAGGTTTGCAGGATGATTTGTTCAGGAAGTTAGTCAACTTGTTTTTCAGCTGTTTTCTGGGAACACTAATGTCTTCTCTCCTGGAGAAGATGTTTTAGGAATGTTTCCATTTTCTTAGAACTACCACTGTACGTGGGCCCTCTTTCTCTCTAGCACTGAACAGTTGTGGGTCCACAGATTAGTTTCTTTATTTTTCTGTGTCCTAGTTTCCTTCTCTATATAATGGTATCAAATGGGCCAATGTACGTTAGAAATAATAGCATACAATAACACCTGCTGTTTTCACTTTTATCCATTGTATTTCACCTCAGATAACTTATTCCTCTTAATTTCAACATCATATCTAGAAAAACTCAAGGAAATCTCTTGCTCACGCCACTTAATTTCCTTAAATGATCAATTATACCTTAATTAGACTCCAGAATGCACCAACATGGGCACATATTTCAGAGATCTTTGTGTTGTGGTTTTAGGTCAAGGCAATAGCCTTGAACATTGTCAAAGGGGATGGAAAGATTGAGACCAACATCACTCTCAGTATCATAGAAGAGATGACCTTTAGCCATAAGAGAGAATAAACCCATTACCAGTTATACTGGAGTGATGGTCAAGCAATGGACAGATCTATTTCATATATAATCACTGCCAGTGATTATGTCCCAGGAAAAGATGTGTGACTTCACTGAGACTAAGAGTGCTTTTGAAGACTATCTTTAAATGATCTTTAGACTGCATGGAATTATTTGGATATTAGATATAATACATGAAAAGTGCACAGCAAGTCCCTAATAGCTTATTATTGTCATTACTGCTAATACAAGAACAATATTCTCTGGTATGCAATTTATTTTAATGTGACAATCAGAATACTGATGTATGTAATACCTTGTTCCAAAGGGCATAGATGTGAATGAGCACTCAGGATGTGACTTCCTTTTTTTATGGTTCTGTAGCACAAATAGTGCTAATACTGGAGTAGAATCAGATTTTGTATTGCAAAATGCTGGCAAAGTCAATGGCAGAACAAGGAAAATGTGCTAAGTACACAGTGAATTCATTAGCATGTTTCCCAGCAAAATATGTATATTTGTATAAATCAGTTATTCTTAGCATTGAGACAGTTACTAAGTAAGAAAGCAGAATAAAATACTTCAAACTTTTTCTAAAAAACACAAGTGAAATATTCATGAGACATTATCTACTTGAGCAGATGGCTTCACTGGACATGTGACTTTATTACCTGTGCTGGGGTCACTAATTCCAACTCCGAAGCTGACTCAGAGTTGAGGGCACTTTTGCCACCACTCAGTTCTGGCTGAGATCTGTGTTCCGCAGACCTGTAAAGGATGCATTACAGAAACCAATGTCATTGAGAGGAAATTCAGCTTGAAATTCACACAAGAAACATAGTTAAGTAGAGTCATTGAAAATCAGGATAATGAACCTCTCATCAGAGTTCTGGTGAAAATTATACATTTTATGAATTTCCATTATCTTGACCATTTATTTAAGTGGCCATAATGTGCTGTTACTGTTTTAAGTTAGAATTTTAGGCAGAAGGAAAAACTGACACAAAGCCACTTTGTTTCACAGAATTTCATTTTATGAAAAAACATTGTGTCTTTTTGTGGGGGACATTTCACAAAATATCTCTAGGTTGAACTTGAAACAACACAATAAGTTGAGTTCAAATGGGAAACAAAACCTGAATGGGAAACTTCCCTTTAAGACTCATATAAACATGATGAAATGAGTAGTTAGATTTTCTCAAAGTAATCAGTTACCCTTAATTATTGTATTATATGACAGTGGATGAGTGAGAAAGCCAGTGAAGATTGCCTATATAATCAGAAAACTTAATTAATATTGATGTGCCATGTTACATACTTTCTCTCATAAATATTTATATATATATATATATACATCATTTTAACTATCTCAGTCACACATTCAGAAAATTATCAACAAATGCTATATCACGAGACATCTCAAATCCTTATTGACTGAATTTAATTAATTCTTGACAGTTCACTTGACATAATTTACAGGTTGTAGAAGCCAAATTAATTAACATTGACCCATGAGGTTTTTATATGTAATACTAAGTATCTGGATTAATTTAACTAATTGTCTATTTCGGTATATGAAAGGAACTCTCACATAGTTGACACATACATGGCTATTTTCTATAGTCAGATTATCTTACCATAAAAGCTCTTTTGATCCAGCTCTAGATGAACATGATTTTCTCTCTGCCATTGGATGCCCCTTGCTATTTCGATCTCCATGAAACTTAACATCATCCCATTTTTCCAGTTGTGTTTGAATGTCTACTAAGAGGTAAGATATGAGGGAGCCAGGGAGAGAGAACAAGGTAAAGATAGTAAAGAGATTGAATAAGATTGAAAAGTTTTATACAATCAAGCATTACCTCTCACACATAAAAGACCCAAGACCATCTTTTACCTTTTCAATGTGCCATTAAAATTTAATTAAAATATATGAAAGTAAGTAAAAATGAGAACTATGAAGACAAATTAAATTGCTTTTACAACTGAAGCACTCAGGGTGTGTGTGTGTGTGTGTGTGTGTGTGTGTGTGTGTGTGTGTGTGTGTGTGTGTGTGTGTGTATGTGAAGTCAGATCTTCATTTGGCTCATTTGCTCAAGTCTGGCAGTCTACCACTTGAAATACACCTCCACATTCCAGTTTTTTTTTGCTGGTTAATTAGAAAGAAGAGTCTTTTAGACATGTTTGCCTGGGCTCCTTCAAACTATGATTCCCAGATTTAGCCTCCTGAATAGCGAGGATTACAGGCTTCAGCCACCAGCACATGGCGAAAGTTGTTTCTACCTGTCACAGGGCTCACATGTTCTTTAAGGCCCATCTGCTGGCATATAAATTTCAATTCCCAAATCTTGTTCTAATATCTCTTAATCTTTCTCTTCCCTTTGTTAGCACTGGTTCTCTGTATTGTCATTCTTGCCTTTAGTCTTGTCTTCATCCATCCACCAGAGAAGGATTTTTCCTTTTGTTAAAATAGAATTTGTTGCGGTCAGTCCTGTCAGTTAAGCCCTTTGAATAAAACCCCCCTTTTCCCAATCTTTATCCTTCAGCCCCGTGGTACTGGAAGGCCTTACTGCTGCTCTATAGGAGCTCCACAACTTGAACTCTCTTTCCTGTAGCATCCTGCCTTTTAAATTTTACGTTTGAGAATGTGTCTCACTAACTTTGCCTGGACTAGCCTCAAACTCAGGATTCTTCTGCCTTAGCTTGCACAGGAGCTGGGACAACAGGTGTGTGCAACCTTGCCCAACTTCAATCCCAATCTTAAGGGAATGGCACCCAAGGATTGCAATTCAGTAGTGACTGAAACTCAGACATTTTAGTAACTGTGAAATTGCAATTCACTACAATATTTATATTTAATTCCAAATACATATTTAAATCTACTAGACTGTAAACCTGATAAAGGGAACACAAAATTATATTATTATTACTATTATTATTCCATTATCATCATCATTATTATCATCATCATCATCCTGCTAGTCCTGAGGCTGAACTCTGGGCTTTTGTGCTCAAGGCTAGCACTCTATCACTTGGGCCACAGCTCCACTGTGATTAAATGGAGATAATTCTCATGAACTTTCCTGCCTGGGTTGGCTTCAAACTATGATCAGATCTCAGTCTCTTGAGTAGTTACGATTATAAGCATGAGCTATTAGTGCCTGGCAAGACAAGGATATATAAATATATATATATATATATATATATATTTTTTGGGGTCCGGTCGTGGGGCCTGGGCGCTGTCCCTCAGCTCTTCAGCTCAAGACTAGCATTCTACCACTTGAGCCACAGTGCCACTTCCGGCTTTTTTCTTTTTGCTTATGTGGTGCTGAGGAATCAAATCCAGAGCCTCATGCATGCAAGGCAAATGCTCTACCACTGAGCTACCTTCCCAGCCCCAAGACAAGGATATATTATTTTTGTATTCCTAGAACATAGAAAATGCCCACAATTCAGGGCATCTTAAAAAATATTTATGGGGCAAATGAATAAATTAATCGGCCATCTAACATACGTATCATGGTAGAAAGTGATTTCACACATATATGTATACATACATATACATATATCCTACTTATTCTTCCGAACATTATAAATAGGTATGAATAAAATCACTTTATGAGCATATATATATATATTCACCACATATTTATGTACACAAAGAGCAGTTAGTAACAGGCAGAGATAACTTTCTGAAGTTCCTACCAGTTTTCTTTCTCCTGAGAAAACAGAGCTTGATTTGACTGATTCAATCAGCTGATGATTAAGCTGTTTTTTTTTCTCCCCTCAGGAAGATCAAAGTATGTGCATTAATGTTCACTACAGTGAAGCAAAAGTTCTAGCTCTTCTTAGTAACTTAGAGATCTTGGGACAAGTTAAAATTTAAATTTGGTTTCTCACATATTTCCAGGTTCTGATAATTGAATGAGACAATAATATGTCTCATGCAAACAGTGCAGCATGATTCCAGGAAAATACTACATGGTAATTATTGTTATCATTAACTTGGACATGTACATTCTAATGTTTACTTTGGCTATTGTTATCTCTTTGTATTGGAGTTGTTTATTCATGTATCTTTCTGTCTCCTGCCCTAGATTGAAGCAAGATGCATCTTTTATTTGAAACTATTGAATCTAATATGGTGCCTGCTTTCTATGACTAGCAAATTACTTGTGGGCTGAATGAGTGCATCAATACTAGTTACGTAAAGTTGAGCTCCTTGATGGGCATTCAATCCAAGCACAAAAGTTTATGCCTTGCCCAGTTTCTTACATGGACTTTTCCTTTTCTATTGTTTAATTCACTTTTGTCAGCTGTGGGGCTTCCCTGTTGTATCACTACTACCATCAGTAGTAGAAGGTTTGGCAATGGCCGGAAACAACTACTCCTTACCTAAATCTAAGGATGAAGTCTCTGTGACTTGGAGGGGCTGGCCTCTCTGCTCAACATCTGTGCTGATGAGGTCAGGTCCCTCAGCCTTTTTCTTGAGAGATGAAGTTTTGGATGAAGGTTCTGACTTCTTGGCTTTGCTTTGAGTCTGGGAGACTGGTTCACTCAGGTCGAGGAGATCTAAGCCTGTAGTCAACACTAGCAGACACAAACAGATAAGGTTAAGTTAAGCCCAGTTACTGCCTTGTAGTTACTTTTTAAAAATAGGTTTCAGTTGAGTACACAGAGATCTTATGGGTATAGTTTAGGTTAGAAACAGCATATTAAATTGGCTTCCCGTTGATTTATAAACTGTTAGGTGGGGAAGTTTGCTGTGTATTCTATATTTTGCACATGGATGAGGCAGAACTTAGATCTCCCTTAGCTATGATGAATTTTGACCAAAATTAACATGACAAAATGCAATCTGAGGTCAGGTAAAAATGTATTGTTTTGCTTCATTTCTAAAAAAGGATTCTTTAAATTATAGTTTTCCTGGAGAAGGCTGAACTTGTCATGGTCAGAACCACAGTGAAGTTTCTGAAGGCCTCTATTTTAAACAGTGAAATTTATGGGGTATAAAGAAATGTTCTTAATCATCTTTTATTTAATTAAACAGCTCAATCAGCAAATGGCATGTTGTTTGCACTAACTCTGGAGAGGTATTTTATAATCCATAATTGATGAATAGGTACACATGTTGATGAATAAGTACACAGGTTAATGTGCAAATTAAAATATGCAAGTTTAATATCAATGTAACCAAGTATAAGACTCATACACTTTCAATTCCTAGCTGGCTGATTCTACTGTATTTAACACTTTAAGGAAGGTAGATATAGCAGTTTGTTGAGGCAAATGAGAATTTAAAGGAAGCTTTTGAAATTTCCAGTTCTTTCCTTTATAGTGAAAGTAACTAGTATTTGACAAGCTCATTATGTACATAGAAAATTTAGATTAGAGAAGGTCCCTCCAGACCTACTCTCCACCAGGCTGTGCTATGTCATTTCTCAGTATAGAGGCTGTGGATCAGTCCTGGTGTCTTCCTGGCCTAGCACTCTTCACTCAGCCAGCTAAAGAAAATCACTGTCTACAATACTGTCTGCATCCTCTAAGCTTAGTAAATCATGGTCTGCAACACTGACTGCTGTTCTCCTGTCATATCCTAGCTTTACCTCCAGATGGAGAATGGATTTTGCAGCTGCCTCAACACCTCTCCATCTGCTTGCACCCAAGGAAGGGCCTGGGATCAACTAAACCTTCAACGCAGATTTCTTTAGTACTGCACCACCTGCCTGAGCTAACCATGCCCAGGGGAATCTTCAGAGTTGCAAGGATTGTGAATCTTTGTACTAGAGATTGGACGTAGAGCTTTGACTTGCTACAGAAGTACCAGAGCCATGTCTCCAATGCTTTTGTTTTGTCTTGTCTTTGAAATAAGGTCTCTTAATTTAGCCTTTTTGCCTCTGCCTATCAAGTAGCTTGGATCACAATATTACCACTATGTCTAAATTTTCTTATTTTCTGAATTCAATTCCAAATCACAATGATTGGATACTATTGGTGAAATAGAGAGATCTGGTTCTACCAGTTTAGGTGTGCCTTGAATTGAGTGTCTTGACAAGTCTGTGTTTCAGTTTCCTGATCTGGAAACAGAGTTAACGGTCTTTGAGAGTTACGAGATGATGAGCATATGATCTAATGTGTGTAAGTTCTAGGCTATGGTAGGCAGTCAGGAAATGTTATTTCTGAGTTGGGAGTGTGGCTCTTTGGTACAATGCTTACCCAGCTAAGTGTAAGGACCTGGGTTCTATCTGCACTTCACATATGTATAAACACAAATACTACTTCTATTCTTGGGAGGCCAGTTTACAATATTTTCATTTTCTTTTTGTTGTTCGCCTACTATTATTCTATTTTCCTCATTCCTTTCTATCTCAGGCAGGAATCAGGTCCACATATTTATACCAAGGACCACTACTGAGGATAAAACTGAAGATGAGATAAAGATACTGGATCTACAGAGGATTTTGTGGAGGAAATTGAACATAAAATAGCCTGAAAGTGTCAGTTTATCTCAATTGAGTCTTTCTGAGAAGATGGGAGCTACTTTTGAGCACTAAGATCATCTGAAATATGAGTTTTGTGTGGTTAAGAAATACTGGAGTACAGAGGGAAAGAAGTAGCTGTTGAGAACTAAGCTACCAGGCTTTATGTCTAAAATTTAAATCTAGCAGACAGCCATGGTCTGGGTGCCACATACTTTTTCTTTTATCAACATAATGGTTAAACAGAATTTTCAGATACAGTTAGGTTGTCAAAGAATCTAGACCCAATGTGATTTCCTTATAAAGAACACCAAGAACAATCTCAGGAATGCCACATACACTGTTTTACCAATTGTACAAACAAGACTTAGTCACTTGTTCTTTTGGAAGCAAATTATATAAGAATCATATACTTGTAAATAGGGAGTACATTTGTTACAAAATAATAATTGGTAAATACGAATTTAATTCTCTCTCTGCTTCTCACGGCTCAGAATAAAATGCTAAAGGAGTGGAGTGTGAGTTTGATCTGGGTTCAGTCACATTCTCTTCTTTTCCTCTCTACTATGTCCTGGGTACTTCTCTCTCTGCCCCTTTGTTCTTTTCCCTGAAAATACCAAACAAAAGCTTATCACAAACGCAGGACTTCACCCAGGTGATGAAAGAGGTGCCTTGGAGGTCAAAAGGTAAGCTTTCAAGTCCTGAGAACCACAATTGTAAGAACTGAAGAGGTTGGGTGCAGACTTTCAGGCTTTGAAGGAGACAAATCAAATTTTAGTGGCTGTGTATCTTTTATTTAAGACTTAAAAGTAAATGCCTGCAATTACAGTTTCTTGGAGGATCATGGTTTGAGGCCAGCACAAGTTAGCAAAATCTTAAGAATAAACAGAGGATGGTTGAGTATGTTTGTAATCACAGCTATGTTGTAGGCAGAAATAGAACCATGGTCTTAGACAAAAGTTCTACGCAGATGACAAAGGATAGCTTCCTGTTATAGTTGATGTGAAATTATCTGTCTGTCTGTCTGTATCTCCTTTCCTCTCTCTCCATATATATTTGATTATGTACATTAGTGTTGGATCCAGTAAAATATTTCTGAGTACAATCTTATTTCACATATCTATCCTTTCCTAAAGGGCCACATTTCATCACTCATAGGTTACAGGTTGTGGGAGTCTTTCCCTTCACTTCCATCTGCTGCAGGGGGGATTCCAAGTTTGGTGGCTCCTAAGCCACATCATCTATTGAAGCACTTTATCCTGTCTCTTCAGCTAAGTCAGTTTGGTTACTTGAAGTTATACAAACATTGTGCATAAAATAAGTCAACATAAGAAAACAACTGGGACTGCCTGTGTTTAAATCCTCACCCTGCTATGCATTAGCTATGGGGTTTCTCTCCTCCCTCCCTTCCTCTGTCTCTGTCTCTGTCTCTGTCTCTGTCTCTGTGTGTGTGTGTGTGTGTGTGTGTGTGTGTGTGTGTATGTGGCTTGTGTTGGTACTGGGGCTTGAACTCAGGGCCTGAATTTAGCTGTTTTGCTCAAGGCTTGCACCCTATCACTTGAGCCACAGCTCCACTTCTGGTTTTTTGGTGGTTAGTTGCTGAGTCTCATGGACCACTGGTCTTATGTAATCATTAGTGTTCTTCTAAGTAGAAGTCAGGAAGGTCATAAAGAAAATATATAAAAATGAAACAGATGCAATTGGGGATGAGGATTGAGGTTTGTAGACAGTTTTGGAGATTTTTTGTTTTTTTGTTTTTTTTTTGGGTCCGGTCGTGGGGTCTGAACTCTGGGCCTGGGTGCTGTCCCTCAGCTCTTCAGCTTAAGGCTAGCGCTCTACCACTTGAGCCACAGCACCACTTCCGGCTTCTTTTTTCTGCGTATGTGGTGCTGAGGAATCGAACCCAGGGCCTCAAGCATGCAAGGCAAGTGCTCTACCACTGAGCCACCTTCCCAGCCCCCAGTTTTGGAGATTTTTATACCGGTTATTTTGAAGACTGAGGAAAGATCTAAAAATCAACAATGATAGGTGTCCCCAAGAAGCTGGAAAAAGTAAGAAAACAAATTCTGTCCTAGAGCTCCTGAAGGAAAGTAGACTGATGAATCTTGATAGGAGCACTTCCAACTTCCACAACTTTAAAGTAATAAAACTGCATTGTTTTAGGCAATAAGTTTGTGGTGATTTTTTCAGACGTAATGGGAAACTAACACATCTGTTACTGAGTCTAGGAGGACTCAAAGACTCAACTATAGATGGGTGTCTCCAAGCATGCATAATTAACCCCTCTTCTCTAGCCTTCATCCATGTCTGGGGGCAGGGTGCAGAGTTTACAGATACAGTGTATTTATTTATTTATTTATTTTTAAGATACTGGTTATCTGGCCATTTGAAGAGTTTGAGGCATGATTTAAATAATTAATAACCTCAGAAGCTTTCTTTGTAAACCTTAATTCCATTGGCTGAAATTTCCTGAAAATCGATGATTAAAGTGTTTGTTTTCAACTTCTTCAGGTATACTTGATTGGAGAACATAGCATAGTGTATTAGAAAGCTGGCAAGTGGCACTGTGACTAAATATTAATTACTACATTAATTGAGTCCTGGGAAGGGAGGCCCCTTCAAAAGAATGAAATAGTACCTTGTAAGAAGCTTCCTTTAGACATTTTGTAGTACATTCAATGTTATTTGTACTACTATGTCATATTGGTCATGAATTAAATGGCAGTATCAGACACTTTCAAATATAGTTATATCAAAGGGATAAATAATTCAAACAACTTTTTCCTCTTCGCTGGAATATGTAATTACAACTCCTACTCAAATTTCTAAGCTCTCAAAAGATATGTGATTTGAGTTTGTGAACACTGAAGCTTCATAAAAATGTGTTTTGTAAATATGCTTATTTTTACAATAAAGATATTTTCGTAAATAGCTATAGCAGGGCCGGAAACTTTGTTATGTATAGTTCTTTTCTTATAATTAAAGTCTTGTATGTAAGTATATAAAACCTAAGTGAAGGAGGAGTAAGATTTTTTTTAACCCAAAAATGTTTGTTCTAAAACTTAATTCACCCAATAGCTCAAGTTAATGGATAAATGCCTTTAGATTATGTAGTGTGATGAATACAAACTAAGAAACCTGGTTTTCTCCTTGATCCTTAGCAGAGTCTGACTTGTGCTTTAATGTATATTAGATTTATTAGGAGATCAAAGAACAAATTATTGTTACAAAAATTATAGTATGACTCAAATAATCTTTTTTTTCTTCTTTTTTTGTAGACAAGGACTTACTAGGTATCCCAGACTGGCCTCAAATTTGTATAATCACTTTAAAATATTAGTTATTTCATTTGATTTATGAGTAAGTGTATATTTGTTTACTTTTAAAAATCAAACAGTTTCACAATTATTTTAGCTTGTGTTAAATATAAGGATGCAATTTAAGAAAGCCAGAGAATTAGGTGCCTCCCTGGATTATAGATGAAGTAAAGGAAAATTTGGATGTTAATAGAAAAACAAAAGAAAAATATCCTTATTTGATAAGCTTAGTTATCCTAAGTTCAGTTCCTATATAGTGTCTAGTGATATTACTGTTGAATTACTTCACCCTTTGTTCCAGCATTTCTGTGATTCACATAAGGAAATGGAAAGACCTGGAAAAAATTAAGTGAAGTAAGCCAGACCCAAAGAAACATAAGCACCACGATTTTCCTCATTTGTAATAATTAGAATATGTCTAGGATATTCTTAGGAAAGGATATGATAGCTGTGTGCAATGACCATATAAAATGATGCTTATTGAAATGAACCCCAAGAAATGGAAATAAGAGTTTTTTATATTGTACAGTTTTCAGTTTTTCTTCTTTCTTTTTTTTCCCCCTTTGGTTTATTCCCTGATGTCACTGCTTTTGATTTCTGTATCGTTTGTCTTGTGGAACTTTATTACCATAGGCTTAGGAAACTAAGAGGACAATACTGAAGGTTTTGTATGACAAGAAATTACCTTCTTTTGGTAGTCATCTAGAATTTCAGTATTTCATAGGTTTCCTTCCTTCCTTCCTTCCTGTCCCAACCCCCTCTTGTGTCCAGTACTAGAACTCAGGGCCTGAACCCTATTTCTTTGCTTTTTTGCTCAAGGCAGGCAGTCTATCACCTGAGCCATACTTCTACATCCAGTGTTCTCTTCTGTTAGAGACAAATGGTTTAGAACCACAATCTTCAGATCTCAGTCTCCCAAGTAGCTAGGTTTACAGGAGTGAGCCACTGGTGATAACTCCAGGTCTTTCTTTTAAATGTTAGATAATCAAGATGAAAAGCTTTTGAGACTAATCTTATGTGGCTCTTTCACATTGGGCCCTTCCTAAGTGCCTTAACTTTCTCATCAGTGGGAACTGGAAAGTGAAGAGTAATCCCTTAGTGCATCTATTTCTCATGGCTTTGCTGCTCTAAGAAACACAGGCTCTCTGGATTTTCTGGGGGTAGCTTTGCAATTTTGGAGGGCTAAGCTCCAGTTTCCTAGATTAGGAAGGTAAATCTAATTGAACAATGTTACCAAGGATGAAATTTATTTTCTTGATTACTCAGTGTGATAGTTGATTTTAGAAAATGATTGCTTAAGTACAGTAATGTTGTTTACTGATTTTTAAGAAAAGGGAAGTGTAAGGAATACTGTTTTCACCTGATACTAGCAGAAATGGTCATATTAGAATTTACATGGCATAAAGTACATTCATAGATCCTTTTATTTGGTCTTCTCAAGTGACTTATGAGATATGCTCTTAGTACTAGATGAGGCAACTAAGGGTAAGCTAGGTGAGAAAGCTCAGCAACTTGCCCATGGATACAGAGCTGGGGTTGGAATTCATGGAGTTTGACCTCAGAAACCTTGGATTATATTCCCACCTAAGGCACTCGTATTTGTCATTCATTCTTGCGTTTGCAAGTTTTAGTATTTTTTGGAAAAAGTCACAATTTCCTCCTTTTAAGATTTTCTTCAATATTTCTACCTACAATGAAAATATACAAGCCAGCAGCTAGCCAAGGACGTCATGGAAAAATGACACAAATTTAAGAAGACAGATGGGATTATTGACTTCTCTTTCTATGCAACTCTATATTACCTATCCAATATAAGCTTTGATCTTTGATTCTGAAAATTGTTTTTTCCATTTTTATTTGCATGCTGTTCCTTAGACTATGAATGTTGACCAAATGAGACTGATTCAGAAAGGCTAAAGTGCTGGAGAAGTATGTATTGTGCCAATGGAATTCAGCACTCCCTCCTGAGACATGTTTGAACCCTATATGTGCTAGTGCCAAGCAACTGAAGGCTCCCTGCTTAAGAAAGCTTAAGTCACTTTGGCACTGATCAGGGAATTTTTAAGAGGAAGAAATAACATGTCAACATGGGGAAAATAGACTTGAGTCTTTACTATCCAGTGGCTGCAGGACATTTTAGTTGTTTTAAAAAATCTACATTTTTATTGTACCTAACTTTTGTTTCACCACATATTTTGAAAAATAATTGATTAGGCCATCAACCAAAACTTGAAAATCCTTACTCTGAAATAGATACTTTGTTTCAGTGTGATGCAAATAAAAATGACAAGATATCAAGATAAACAAAGGCATAGAAAATTAACTGGTAACAGTGGAACTCTTAAGTTCTAGCAAAATTAATAGAGTAAAATACATTGTAATTTCTTTTTAAATAATCATAGGTTATATCTAATTTATTCTAAAGAGTATATGTCTAAAGTTTCATTTAGTTACAAGTATTATTCCCCACCTAAAATGGTTGTAAAAAAAGATGCACATTATATTATGGTTCAGATCAACTCTACTTGAGGCATAGTTAAAATAAAAGAATTACCAGCTGTATTGGATGTTACTGGCCTTGCAATAGCTTCCGATTTGGTTTCACAGAGAAAGTCATCGATGGAAGGACTCAGGAGGGGTCTGCTTTCTTGTTGCTCATTCACCAGCTGAGAACAAATGAACACAGGTGTCAAAGGTGTTCAACTGCAGGTGTTCAACTGCAGAATCAGAAGAATTAAAATGCAGCCTTGCAACAAAATGGGAATAGCAAGCCTACCTAAAATAAATAAATACATAAATAAATAATAAGGAGGGAAAGAAAGAAAAATATTACTACCAAGAGGTGGGGAATGAGCCTTTTAGCACCACTATCAAAGTTTTGGATGCAGCAAACGAGATTTAATAGCTTAAGCCTTTTTCTTCCTCTCAGAGTAGTTTTAGAATTATCTTCTAATTTCAACATGTGGAAAATGACACCTATTGAAGCACAGTTGTTACAGGACAATCCCATTCCTCACTTAGACATAAATCTCCCACTAAGATCTGGAAACAGAACTTGAGACTTAGAGGTGACTGGAGGCTCTGACCAGGAGTTGTTAGTCATGTCTATGAGGTGAGAATTATAAACATATGAATTAACACTCTTCTATCTTCCCTTTCTTCAGAAGCTAATGACCTAAACATGTCCCCTACATTTCCTTCCAGTGCATTTGCAATGCATAGCAAATCTTATTTGAGGGGAAAATGCTGTTATATTAACTGACTAGAGGATCTAGTAAATAAGTTTGTGAAAATGTATATGTAAAATAGACTCCTGTAAATTTAATTGTATTTTTCCATTGATCTGTTCTATAACTCTAGTAATCCTTTAGATTGCTTTGGGTCCCTAACTGGCAGTGACAGTTAATGATTCACCATACCTCTGTGTATCTAGGTTTTCTGCCGTTAAGTAAGGAAACACAGTTATGTTCTACAAATAATTAGCTCTGTATTAGTTTTACAGGAGGGGTCTGGCCTTTTAGTTTTCTATTTGTAATAAATAATGTGCCTTGGAGTCTTTTAGAGCTTACATGTAAGTTTGTATTTCAAGGTACAAGAATAAGGAACCAAGTGTTTTGGTGTAGGAACAAACCAAAGTATTTTATCTGCCTGTCCTCACAGTTCATTGTTTATTTTTTTGGCATAGGGTCTGTAGTTTCATAGTTCAGAGCTGAAGGAAGATACAAGAGGCATAAACAATAGTAAATATGGGAGGGAAATGTAATTCGGCTACTTCTGAAAGGGTAACATGGAAGTATTTAATGGTCATTTGGAGGTTGAAGCCAAGAGACCTTTTTGGTACTTGAATGTAATCACATTATCATTTAAACATGGTTATGTCTTGAATTTCCACTAAAGCTCAAGATTTTTTGAAAGCTTGGAATTTTTTCAGTATGCTGGTAGCTCATTCCTATAATCCTAGCTACTCAAGAGGCTGAGATCAGAGGATCATGGTTTGAAGCCAGCCTAGACAGGAAAGTCTGTCTCTTATCTCTAATCCACCACCAAAAAAGAAAAAAAGGTCAGAAGCAGAGTTGTGGCTCAAATGGTATAGTGCTAGCCTTGGGCAACAAAGCTAAGGGACAGTGGCCAAGTCCCGACTCTCAGGACCAGTGTAAACAGTTGAAAATATGATTTTTATTCATATTTAACTTGTAGAAATTATTGAGGATTATTGAAGGATGGCAAGGAAAATGCCCTTCTACTAATGTACAAGTTACAATGCTAGAGATATCTTCAATTATTGTTAGTTTTAGCGCTACCAAATATAAAGACTCACAAATTTCACCAGGAAACAGATTATCAAAAGTCTACTGGTTTTAACCTTTCTGAAAGGTTAATCTATGAGTGAAACTCTTGCGTTCCTTTACATTTTGGTCTCTGAACTTCAATGTTCTTGAGGATTACAGGATTGACTTACATTAAACTATTTTTAAGTGTTGAGAAACTGCAACTTTCCAATGTTTATGGATGAAATAAACTTATTTTTTGTAAATGCCATGGTCTACTTAAGTTTAGGAGTTATTTACAATATTTGATGACATAAAAGTCAATTTTTGTATCTAAATGTACTTGACAGTACTGCTGCAGAATATATATTACAATAGGAAGAAATGACTAAAAAGCATCAGTGGTTCTGTGAACTCTTCTGAAATTGTGAGTAGTATCCATAAATTTGTACCTCATGGATAGAGTTTATGTATAAACTATTTCCAAGGGAGCCACATATTAATATGCATGGGAGGTCAAACTTGCTCCTGTAAGTGCTTAATATAATGAATCCTTCTAGTGTATATCATAGCAATGTGCCCCTGACTTCATACTGAAACTGAAATCTGAATTCTGCTATTATAATCATTCAGGAGAGATGAAGCCAACATCAGATATGACACCACACTTTATCTACATGAATTGTTTTAACAAGCTTATAGTTACTAAACAGTGCATTATAGTTATTGTCTTATAGGATAAAATTATTAAGACTGAACTCTAAGTTGTTTTGTTTTTATTTTTGTTTTTGTTTGGTGGGAGGGTGGTACTGGGATTTGCACTCAGGGCCTCATGTTTAGTAGGCAAGGTACTCTATCTTAATTGAGCCATACTTCTAGCCAAAAACTTGGTGACTTTAAATTTTGACTTTAAAAATTGCTGGTGCTGGTGGCTCATGACTATAATCCTAGCTCACTCAGGAGGCTGAGATCTGAGGATCATGATTTGAAGTCAGCCAGGGGAGGAAGTTCCTGAGACTTATCTCCATTTAATCACCAACAAGCAAGAAGTGGAGGTATGGCTCAAGTGGTAGAGTGTTAGCCCTGAGAAAAAAGCTCAGGGACAGTGCCCAGGCCCTGAGTTCAAGTTCCAGAACCAACACACACACACACACATACACACACACACGAGCAACATGCACAAAGTCTGAATATGTGTCATAACTATCAGAAGCACTGCATCTCTAAGAAAAGTGTACTTTCATTAACATACAACTAAAGATAACTGAATCTTCTCCACTTAGTGATCATTTTAAAAAAATAGTCAAGTATCTCTTCTTCAAAATGCTTGGGGACAGAGAAGTACTATACTTTGGAATATTTGTAAATACATAATGAGCTATCTTGGGCCAGGACTCACATGGGTATGTATGTACATATGTATGTATGTACTTATTTATTTATTTTTGCAGCATCAGAGTCTCACACTTTCTAGCCAAGTGCTTTACTGCCTGAGCAATGCCCCAGTCCTTTTACTTTTCACTTGTTTATCAGAATTTTGCATTAACTTTTCCTGGGCTGGCCTTGAATGAAATTCTTCCTACCTCTTCTTTCTGAGTAGTGCAGACCAGGGTAGGTAGCATCACAATAGGGTTGTTTATGAAATAATAAAATTTCACTAACTTTTGCCATGCTTGCCCTCAAACTGTAATTCTTCTGTGTCTGCCTCCTGAATAGTTTGGATTATAAACATTTGCCACCACATTGGGTTCATATACACCTACATACACAGGAAGTTTTAGTCAATATTGTTGGTGTGCTCTGTTTTAGTTGTGGCCCATTTCACGTACCAGGCATGGAATTTTCCACTTTGGGCAACACATGAGTGCTCAAGAAATTTTAGACTTTCAGAGCATTTCAGATTTTCAGTTTAAGGACATTCAATCTGTTAAACTTTTATGCAATTATGCATTTTATTCCATGAAATTCCTTTATATTCTTACTTTGAATTTTTAAAAGGCTAAGAATTTATCTCTAAATATGAACTCTGCATCTGTAGGTAGAGAATGCTTAAGTTGCCTATAATTTTAGAACAGTAGGGTGCTTGGTTTTTGTAGTCATAGTTAGTCCTTAATGTTGAAAATTTTATACTTTAAATTTGATAGAATTCTGGAAGGTAAGGTTCTTATGTGCATCAGCATCTTAGTGGAAAAGCAAAGAAAGGGTACAGTTCAATGAGAGGCCTGTCCTTGTAGTAAACTCTTTAACAATGGTAATAGGGTACTTTTTTTTCTATCTCGAATTTCAGATATAGTTATGTATTTTCGGAAGAAAACACTTCAAGCAGATTTACTCTGCACTGAAGCAAGGAAACCAAAGGAGAGTGTATTTAGAGAGGCCCTGGGGAGTCCTGCGCTTTTCTCTTTTCTTAGACCTTTATCTATTAGAGTGTGGGCCTCTCCCATCCCTGTAATCTTACTTCTCATCGCAGCACACACCTGGCCTGATGGAAGGATATGATGGTCCACCCACCTTATATAAATCAAAGAGGGAGTTAACAAATCACTATCAGAGTCAGGGCTTTTAAGCTGATGTTGGGCAATGTCTTGAAGTAGCAAAGGACTCAGGTTTTCAGGTTAAGAAAATAAACCAGAGGGTGGATCTCCTGGAAAGGTAATTGAAACTGAATAGAAAGATATCAGGCTTTGATAAGTTATGGAAGGTGAAGCAAGTGATTCTGTGAAAGTAAATCTTTCCTTAGAAGTTCTGAGATCAGAGACTATTATGTCTTACTCATATTTCTGTTCTTTACAACTTCAAGTAAGATATCAACATGCAAAAAGGGTTTAATAATTGGCTGCCAAATGAGATAGTGACTTTGCAGAAGCAGAAGGCATAAGAATATCTTTCTCCAGTGGTTCAAATAAATTGTGTCTTCAGTTGCATGGATTTAGAGTTGTTTTACCCACAGAAGTACCAGTTTATTTTTACTTATACAGACAGAAATTGCTTTTCTCATGCTCTCTCCCTTCACTTTTAAACAAGTTTATAGTTTGTCCTTTTGCAACTTAAGAATAAATAAGTCTTTTTAGTCACAAAGGAAAATTTAAAACTAAACTGAATCTGCTAAGTCTAAACCTAACTTCACTTTCAAGTAGTATTTTTTCTTAGTTTTATTTGATAATACTTTATAAAAATTTCCTCATTTCCCACTTTATTTATCTTCACAGTATCTCTTGGTTTAACTTCCATATCTTCATCAAAGCCTGAAGTCTTTCTTTCTGGTACAAAGTATATTGATGTTATAAAAAGAAAAGTCAAGGGGCTGGGAAGGTGGCTCAGTGGTAGAGTGCTTGCCTTGCACGCCTGACGCCCTGGGTTCGATTCCTCAGCACCACATAAGCAAAAAGAAAAAAGCT